ATACTTTGTTACTGTAATTAAGTACATCTTTTAAGTGTCTATAATTTACTCAATTACTTATTTTCCTTCCTACTTCCACTCTGTACTTTCTATTCCTAAATTTTTTTTTTTTACAGCACTAGTGGCTAATTTTTAATGGACACTAGGCTGATAGGAAACGGGATATGAGAGAGGGGGAGAGACATGCAACAAAGGACCACAGGCCGGTTTCGAACCCGGGTCGCCCACATTGAGAGCTAAGGCCTCCGTACATGAGCCGTGCGCACTAACCAGTAACTTACTCGTTACTCTTGGCTCCGGTTCAATGTTTATAAATATTTATTTCACGTCATGTGTGCCATCCAATGCAGATCATTGGTACCATCAACATCTAGTGAAAACTAGTGTGATTGGATGAGTCATAGAATGCAAACAGTCACTGGTTAGTGTCGGATTCAGAAAAAGAAATGTCTCAAAGGTCGGACACAGACGAGAGCGTATCGGGAGACGGAGACCAACCAGACCTCCCTCATCCTTGGCCCTATCAAAGAAATTTTCCAAATAGTAGAAAAATTGAGCTTTCTATTCATATAGTGGCATCTGGCTGTTTTTTTTAAAGGTTAATTTATACTTTTATACTTTAAGTAGTTTTTGGAGCACATTTTTTAACTTTTACTTGAGTAAAGAGGTCAAGTTGATACTTCAACTTTAACAAAGTGTTTTTAAACTGCAGTATCTATACTTCTACTTAAGTAACAAATGTTTGTACTTTTGACACCGCTGTTCATATGACCTGCCCTTCATCAGTTTAGCACTTTTTTGCTGATCTGTATTATTATGCTCCATTAACAAATTAATTTTTATTGTAATGGATTTGTATAATATGTCATATTACATGATTTATAAACTTCATAATGACTATGCAATGTGATGGGCCTATTTTTTTTTCATATGTTACAGTTTACAGTTGCCTTCTGTGTCTCTGCTTCTGTCTCCTTGAACCCCAGTTGGCCTCGGCAGATGGCCGCTCACACTGAGCCTGGTTCTGCTGGAGGTTTCTTCCTGTTAAAAGGGAGTTTTTCCTCTCGACTGTCGCTACAAACATGCTTAGTGTGAGGGATTGCTGTAGAGTCAATGAGTCGATGCAATCAACTGATTTTCCTTAGATAGAAAACTAAATCAATTTCACTGTATGATCTGGTGAACTATAAAGTGCCTTGAAATGACATGTGTTGTGAATTGGCACCATAGAAATAAACTGAATTGAATTAATCTACTTATGCTATGAAACAGCAAGTGTGTGTCAAAGTGATGAACTTTTCTTTATTTTAAAAGTCCACCTAAAAATTATAAAAATCATTGTTATTCAATGCTGTAGCGCACATATTGTTCACATTGCGACTGGTCTAACTAGGGAGTACCAAAATGGCAGCCACTGGCTTCACTTCGCCTGTACTAGCAATGGGCCACCCGCAATCCAGTGAATAAATAGAGATCAGTGGTTTAAAGATCATTTTGCACGAAAGTAAAATCATTGCAAACTTTTGACCGGTTACTGTCAAATTAACTTTCTCAATCCACGATAAAGAAATAACAATCATATTTTTTTTGGCTATTAGAATAAAATATGGTTCTATTCACTTAAATTAAACCAAAGGAGCGTCTAATTAGATGCTTTTCAGTTGAATCTT